TAGCCTCCAAAATGGATTATACTTTCACGTAAAGAAAATGAAATTCCTCATAACTGGACCAATCAGCAAAATCATGATAAATACATAAAATATGAAAATTGTCAAAGATTTCATTTTGCAACTCAATGCCCATAGAAGTAGTACTTAAGAAACCAAACAACGCATTGCATAAGGCAAACTGGCAAAAAGTTCAAAACATTCAAAATCAAACACACTGTCATCACGTTGATTCTGCTTCATAGCGTGCCTATAGGACAGGGTGTGCATGGAAAACTGAAAAAAATATGCATTTGAATTATAGTATCGACAAAGAAAATTTAATCCATCATGGAAGAAGTATAAACAGAATATTTTTTAGAACTGAGGATGGCAAGGCTTCATCTTACATGCTATCGGGAGGGTACCAGTCCCTGGAAAATATTGGTTGGTTAAGTCGAGGGTCAGAGAAACAGAGGAAGACCTTTAGTGAGAGTGACACAGTGGTTGCAACAATAGAAGCAACACAATATTGTGAAAATGACACGGGACCAGAATTTTTGTCCGATACACAGAGTCACTTTGAGTAGGATTCAATCCAACTTCATTTAACAATAATAGCCCAAATTCCCACTGCCATCGGTTCTGACTTGTAGTCTGAACTTAGGTATGGTTTCTAAGAGTTTCTTTCTTAAAGATAGCCTCATTTTTCTCCTGCAGTGCGACCGGTGGATTTGTGCCTGAACCTTGTAATGAGCTGCCCAAGATCTAGCCCAAAGCATCATAACAGCATTCTATTAATGAAGAGGAATTTGGAGCTGAAAGAAGGACCTTGAACTTGATTTTTTTTGTTCTTCCTTAGTTGGCTATTAGTTTGAGGCATAATTAAAAGGAAAAAAGAAAATCTAAATTTCAGCTAGCTATCTCTATCTCGCTGTTAGTCATCAGCATTATTACATGCATGCACTTACATAAGATGTAGCTCAACTGATTTGTCATAATCCCCTAAGATCACCTGGCTTCTTGATGATACTTGATGTGTTCAAATTTTCCTATGTTGGGCTTGGCATAGACTTGTTAACATGTCTAGAAAGAACTTTATTTTCCATTTTTCTCCCCTGAGGTCAATGCAGAAATCTAGGAGTTTGCTGAATTGCTAAAAGCACAGTTCGTTGTACTCTTCCTTAACTTTACTTTGAATGGGCAGGTGCTTGCTGGGTTGTTCTCAGTACCCAAGTGAGCCAGCTGACCTCAGACCCAGGAGGCATGCTTCCATTCACGCTTTTCTAAGGCCGTATATTTCTGACAGATGATTCATTAGTGACTGTAGTCCTGGGCTCTCTTCTAGTCTTATAGACCCATACTCTGCCAGATATGTGTTGAAAAATATAGTTGAAAGGAAATAGCCTCCTTTTCTTCAAACTACATTGGGGCCCATCCTACAGAACTTAAACAATTGTTCTCATTGTGTGTACACATTCAAATCACCTGAGGAGTCTTTATAAATCTCTATATCTGATACTAATTAAAATCAGACTCCTGAGGCAAGAACCTAAGAATTCATTTTTTTTTAAGTTCGTCAGCTGAAATCCCAATGTAAGATAAGGTTTTTTAAAAAAAAAATCCCAAACAAGTGGGTCTTAAACTTTATCTCCTAAGCATCATCTATTCTAGAACAGAAGTTCTGAGAGTGTATTTCCTAAACCAGCAGCATCAACATCTTGAGAACTTGTCCTAAATGTGAATTTTCAAGCTCCAGTTTAGATCTTTTGAACCTGAAACTCGGGGTGAAACTTAGCAATCTTTAATCAGCTCTTCAAGTGATTTTTTTATGCTCCCTAAACTTTGAATATAACTATTCTAGAGCAATCAATGTAAAGCATCCATGGTGGTGCAGTGGGTTAAGCATTTGACTGATAGCAAAAGATAAGTGGTTTAAACCCACCAGCTTCTCTACAGAGAAAAGATGAGGTAGTCTTCTTTTGTTAAGATTTACAGCGTTGGGAGCCCCACAGAGTAGCTCTGCTCTGTGATAAAAGGTCACTATGAGTTGGAAGCAACTCAATAGCTGTGGGTTAGATTGATAGAAAAGGGTAAGAAAGAGCCAGACAATTTTGTTTCTTAGCATAAAATTTGATAGTGTATTTTAAGCAACAAAATATACAACATGTAAACAATATAATATTTATTTAAATATATTATAATCACAATATAGACATAGTATAAATATAAATTATCCTTTCTTAGAGTTTGGTGCACACAATCTCTATTAGAATTACCAATTTGAAACACATAAGGCAGTTTTTAAAAAGTTCATGGGAAAAGTCCAATATCTTTTAGTTCCATTTTCCCATAAATCTTTGGAAACTTTTTGTATATATTCTAGGGATCTCCCCAAAATCGATGAATCAGAATCCCTGTAGTAGGGCCCAGAATCTGCATTTGTCACTAGCTTATCCGGTGCTTCTTTGTTGTTATTTTGAGAACCACTGTTCTAAATGGATACATCATGTAAGGGAATCCTTTATAGAGTTCATTAAAGACATACTTCTGCTATTTACTAACAACTGAAATTTTTGTAATGATTCAATTGTACTTTGCAGAGTTAGTAACAGTTCTTAAGTACTCTCTTAAAATCTTGTATTGAAAGAGCCGGGTTTAAGTATAACACATTTTCTATTTCCTGACAAAAGGTTAATGTACTTTATATGCAAATTAAGATTTGCTTTCCCTTTATATCAAGGAGAATACTACAATTTTATATCGCATCAAACTTTGTGGAAAAAAAACATTTCTCACCTCCCTGCCATTCTGACTCATAACAACCCTATAGAACTGTCCATAACTTTTTATGGGAATAGAAATGCCTTGTCATTCTCCTTCAGAGCAGCTGGTAGTTTTGAACTGCAAACCTTGCAGTTAGCAGCCCATTTCACAACCCACCATGCCACCAATGCACCCTATACAACTTTACTTACACTAGTTGCTGAAAGTGAATACACTTTATTAGTAATAAACTGAGATTTTACCAATTGCTATGAGTACGCATGGAACTTAATAAAAATAAAAACTATTTCTAGGAATTCTGTAATCACTCCTTGCAGAAATGCATTTTATAGAAATGTCATGTGGTAAGTCCTGGATTTCAGTTAGAAACAGAATTGTGGTCTATATAAGCAGAAACTAGACAATTGCAATATTGTTTTAAGCATGCCTATTATTGTTTTCTGAAATTGCCTCTATGGTTTTCATTTGTGAGGTAGATTTAGCTATAATACGAATGTTCAATATTATTTATCATTTTTTTTATTCTAAGGATGTTAAAAAGTGAAGTTAGCTAATCCGTATGAACAAATGTTTTGATTTGTAGGGATTGGGTATTAGGCCCTAATACCTACTTATTAAACTGTTCAACACTAGCATCTATAGGCCATTTCTATTTTAGAACCTATAAAATGCAAATTTAATACAAGTGACTCACTTATGTGAAATGTTCAAAAAATTTTCATGTATGAACATTTATTTTAAAATATAGCTAATTCCATCAATTTTATAATCACTTCAGTTAATTGAGGAGCCCTGATGGTATAATAGTTATGTATTGGGCTGCTGATCTCAACATCAGTAGTTTGAAACCACTAACCTCTACAAGGGAGAAATATGGAGCTTTCTACTCCCATAAACATTTATAATCTCAGAAACTCAGAGTAGCAGTTCTGTGCTGTCCAATAGGTCACTAGGGGTTCGCCATGGACTCGATGGCAGTGAATTTGGTTCAGTTAATTGAAAATATGATATGTTATTTTGTATAAATATAGTGGGTTATATTGTGTGAAGTCAGAATCAATTCTGTGGCCGTGAATGGTATTAATAATTATTAGGATCACCTGTGCTAGCTCACATTTATTGAGTGCTTGCTAGATGCCAGATACTATTTTGGGTGCTCCATATGAACATTCTTAATTCATCCTCAGAGTCATATGAGATCAGTTTCACAGATGAATAAACCAGGGCGCACAGTGTACCCCAGTCACATAAATAAGAGACAGAGCTGGATCTTAAACTCAGAGCTTCTGCTCTTTGCCACTATGAATATGAAAATACTACGCGAATGAAAATAATAGCTTACTTCTTAATTTTGCATTAGAGTTCACTTTTGATTCCATGTGATCTATTTTGGTTGTAAATGTTCAGATAACAAGTTTCTCCCATTTACTTGCCTTTCATTTTCTTTCTCTTGTTTGTTTTAGGAAGCTACTCCTTCCTTTTATAGTGCTATGCATGGCTGGAAGTGCTGTTCATGCGCAGAAACAAGGTAAGGACGCCCCTTTTCTGCTTATTAGCTCATAGAAGTCTTGCTTCAAGACAGCAGAAATACATTACTTTTAATCATTATAACCTTGAATTCGACATTAAACAATAAGAAAAATCCCACATGGTACAATGAGAATGTAATGGGAAAGAAACTGATTGGGGGGTGGGTGACCTTTAAGACCTACTCAGATCTTCCATCTGTGAAATTGCTTACATTTTTAAGCCAATTCTCTATGAAAAGGAAGTTTTGTACAGTAAAAAGGCTGTGCTTGTGACTCCAATTTAAGTGGGAGTTCTTGTGGGTGGCAACTGTGACAGAATTACCTTTGCACTTCTTGAAACAACACAAGTATATAATAAGTGCTTAGTCCAGATTTGCCTCATTAAGAAACAAAACAGAATTTACATACTAGTGGGCCTGGGATTTTATTGGATTCAGATGGAGAAGTTTAGAAAATAGTTCAGTGTTTTGTTTTGATTTTGCTTGCTAGCTCGTTGCTTTGGTAGTACGATGAGACTTTTGGGGATTCAACACATTCCATAATTCATTCATTTCTTGAACTATATTCTAAAAACGATCTTCAATATGTCATGCAATATCCTAATTGCTAATGAAGGAAATATGAATAAGTTGCTGTTTCTGTCCTCAACATGAGAAAAACAAAAACAAAACAGGGAGCCATTTTCAAGAGTAAGAAAGCACTGAGACCAAGAGGAAAAACTCTGAAACTGTGCCAGAACCACAGACAGAGTCGTTGTGCTCTCTCACCTTTCCATCTACCAGGGCTGTGTTGGCCTGCCAACTGAGTCATGTGAACAGAACTGGCTCTTCAGGGCAATGAGCCAACTCCATTTTCAACTCGGCCAACCAAATTAGCCATAAGGAAAAGACAAAGTATTAATGCTGATGAGCATGGGAAAGAGGGATCACAAAGGAAGTGGTCATACTTGATATTGGATTGACCCTACTGGCAGTCTTCACACGCTGCTGTTAGGTGCCATCAGCCGAGAGCCCATTCAGCACCCTGCTCAGCTCTGGGCCGTCCTCATAGCCATTGCCCTGTTTGAGCCCATTGGTGCAGCTGCTGCGTCCATGCGTCCTGTTGAAGGGCTTCCTCTTTTCCTCTGGCCCTCTCTCTCCTTTACCAAGTATCTTGTCCTTCTCTGCGGGATGGTCCCTTGTCAATATGTTTAAAGTATGTGAGCGGAACTCTCCTCATCTCCCTTTCTTTTTTGTAAATTCTTTTTTGATTGTTTGTTTGTTTGTTTTTAATAATTTTATTAGGGGGTCATACAACTCTTATCACAATCCATACATACATCAGTTGTGTAACACACATTTGTACATTCATTGCCCTCATCATTCTCAAAACATTTCCTCTCTACTTAAGCCCCTGGTATCAGCTCCTCATTTTCCCCCCTCCCTCCCTGCTCCCCCCTCCCTCATGAACCCTTGATAATTTATACATTATTATTTTGTCATATCTTACACTGCCTGATGTCTCCCTTCACCCACTTTTCTGTTATCCGTCCACCACGGAGGAGGTTATATGTAGATCCTTATGATCCATTTCCCCTTTCTATCCCACCCTCCCACCACCATCCCGGTATCACTACTCTCACCACTGGTCCTGAAGGGATCATCTGTCCTGGATTCCCTGTTTCCAGTTCCTATCTGTACCAGTGTACAACCTCTGGTCTAGCCAGATTTGTAAGGTAGAATTTGGATCATGATAGTCGGGGGTGGGGGCCGGGGGAGGGAAAGGAAGCATTTAGTAACTAGAGGAAAGTTGTATGTTTCATCGTTGCTACACTGCACCCTGACTGGCTTGTCTCTTACCGTGATCCTTCCGTAAGGGGATGTCCAGTTGCCTACAGATGGACTTTGGGTCTCCACTCTGCACTCCCCATCATTCACAATGATATGATTTTTTGTTCTTTGATGCCTGATAACTGATCCCTTCGGCACCTCGTGATCACGCAGGCTGGTATGTTTCTTCCATATGGGCTTTGTTGCTTCTCAGCTAAATGGCCACTTGTTTGCCTTCAAGTCTTTAAGACCCCAGAGGCTATATCTTTTGATAGCCGGGCTCCATCAGCTTTCTTCACCACATTTGATTATGCACTCACTTTGTCTTCAGTGATTGTGCCTGGAAGGTGAGCATCACAGAATTCCAGTTTAATAAAACAAAGTATTCTTGCATTGAGGGAGTACTTGAGTGGAGGCCCAATGTCCATCTGATACCTTAATACTAAACCTATAAATATATGCACATAGATATCACATCCTCATATATAAATATATTTACATATGTACATGCCTTTATTTAGACCTCTATATATTCCCTTTGCCTCCTAGCTCTTTCCTCTATTTCCTTTTACTTTCCACTTGTCCCACTATCATGTTCAGCCTTCATTTGGGTTTCAGTAATTCCTCTCAGTTACATTACCCTTGGTCACACCCTACCAGGCCTCCTACACCCTCCTCACCACCGACTTGGAAGACTTGTTGTTCCCTTGTCCCTGGGTTTGTTAATACCACTTCCTTTCCTCCAACCTCCCCCTCTCCTGTGTCCCCCAGAACTGTTGGTCCTGTTGTTTTCTCCTCCAGATGGTTCATCCAGCCTGTCTTATTTAGACAGACGCAATCATCTCCCCTTCTAAGGAGTAGTCTAGACTTCTTCCAAGACAAATCTGTTTGTTTTCTGGAAGTCTATGATATGTACTTTGCCTACACCATAATTTAAATTCATCAGCTCTTATTCTTTATTTATGGATTGAAAAATTTCTGGGAAATATGTTCTCATTCTCTATGGATAATTGGTTAAAGTAGATCACATACTTTATTAAATACTCTGTTGACAAAGATATTTCTATTGCTTTATTCTGTTTAAAGTCACAATGAAGAGAAGAATGAAATCCCTAAGTTGTCATGATTACCACTATTACCTTTGAGAACTATCACAGACACTGTGCTAGCAGAACCTATCACTTCCTCCCCACTATCTCATGATCCCACCATGCATCTGTCAGGTTTTCCTACTGTGATGGCTTGCACGTTTCTGTGATGCTGAAAGGTATTTCAAATATCAGCAGGATCATGCATAGTGAACAGGTTTCAGTGGCATTTCCATAGTGAGAACAGACTGTAAGAAGGAAGAACCTGTCCATTTCTGTAGTATTGGCCAGTGAAAACCTTACAGAGAGCAGCAGAACACTGTTGGATCCAATTCCAGAAGATGACCCCCACGGGTTGGAGGCATTGAAAATACCGCTGGGGAAGACAGATCTCCTCAGAGTGGAGTCGCCTTAATAATACGGACGGAGCAAAGTTTTTGAAGAAACAATTGCAAATACCCATAAATAATCTGGATGTGCAATGTATGGATCTAGGAAAACTGGAAGCTGTCAAAAATCAAATGGAATGCATAAAGATCAACATCCTAGGTATCAGTGAACTGAAATGGATAAGGATTGGCCATTTTGAGCTGGTTTATATGCCAGGACGCACAAATTCATGCAGCTGATAGAACGGGTACAGCGCTGTAAGCACCCACTAGTAAGCACCCGCTGTAAGCACCCAAGAAATGTAGAAGACAGCTATCTGGCCATACACCTGGGAGAGATCCATATCCATGGCCATTCCAAAGAAAGGTGACCCAACAGAATGTAGAAATTATTGAAGAATATCAATAATATCACAAGCAAGTAAAGCTGTGCTGAAAATCATTTTAAAATGGCCCATAGACAAGAAGCGGCCAGAAATTCAAGCTGGATTCAGAGGAGAATGGGGAATGAGGAATGTCAGATGGATCTTGGCCGAAAGCAGAAAATACCAGAAAACATATTTACTTGTGTCCCGTTGACTACAGAAGGGTATAGACCTACGTGGAGGATATGCCAAGAACCAGTAGCTCCACATTTTGATACTTTTGCTAATAAAGGTTTCTGTTATTTTTTAGCAGTTCTACTTTTTGGCTTTTATTATGGAGAAGATCCACGTGTACTTGAACGCATTTGTATTATGCTGTTGCTAGCTGGACTGTTCTGTGCACACCTATGAAATCGTTGGTTAATTGTATTGTTTAGATCTATATCTTTGTTGAATTTCTTGCGAGTTCTGTTCTTCATTAGAACAAATGGTGTACTATAAAAGAAACCATGGTGTGTTAAAATCTATTATCGTAGAGTTGTCTAGTTCTCTTTTCAGTTCGATAAGAACTTATTTTATGTATCTTGGAATTTTGTCATTAGGTGCATAGATGTTTATTATGGTTATGTCCTTTTAGTGGATTGGTTCTTTAGTTATTAGATAATGCCCTCCCATGCCTCTTATGCTGATTTTTGCATAAAGTATATTTGATTAGATATTAATATTGCCACTCTTTTTATTTTTTTGACTGGGGGAATTTATCCTTTGCTTGATAACCCTCCCCAACCCCCATCCTTTGATGTTTACATTATTATTTTGTTGTGGTTGTTTCCAAGGTTTGTTTTGTAGGCAGGTCATTGGGTCATTTTCCAATTTCGTTTTGCTACTTTCATTCTTGACCGACACCTTGAATCCACTTGCATTCAGTGTCAGCATAAAAAGGCATGGGTTTAGTGCTTTCATTGTATCGTACCTTTTTTTTT